TTTTATCCACACCCCTCATTGTCCCCAAGCCTACGGNCAGATCTTCAAAACTTCTTACAAGGACAGCCCCTATCATCATCAGCCTTTTTCATCATTATGTTGCAGTTGCTAACCCACAGATACTTATACTTTTTTCCTTTTTTGCCCCCATTGCCGCCATACACAACGCTCTATTGTACTTAGTAAGAGAGTCATTTATATAAATATTCTGTTTACCGTCATTAAAAAGCTCTGATGTTAACTTTGCATTTCTTTGGCAACCATTATCTTCTTTTTTAAGTCCAGGGAAGAGAAATGAACGCAGAGAATATCGCGAGTGGATGTACCTGCGCTCTTAGGTTTTACTCTCCTTACAAAACACTTTTCTATGTTATCAGCAAGGAACGAATTTTTAGGACCTAAAAACCTATAAAAAAGGCAAAATAAAATAACGAAATAGGCTGGAAAAGGCAAAATAAAACATCGAAAAAGGCAGGAAAAGGCACTAGGTATTGCAATAAAGGCAAAACAAAATAGTGAAAAAGGCAGGAAAAGGCACTAAAAGAGACAGAAAATACAAAGAACCTTCAAAAAATACATTTATTTTAGAAATGTTTATATTACAGGTAAAAAGAGAAAAATTATGAACTAGTTTCGTTATATGAAAAAGTTGTACTTTGAATCTTTGACTATTTTATCCTTTCGAGTTTCTAACTAATAAAACTTTAATCTGTATAGTTGTAGTAACATTGAACCACAAAATGCATTTTGAAGTTTTCTGGCAGCATTTTCATTCGATTTTCGCGAAGAAAAGCCCTGAATGTACTAAATGTGCGCTCGACGTAAGTTGATACAAGTGGAGCCCAATTTAAATATGGAACGATTAAAACGTTCATATTATCAGGAATAAGGGCGTTTTCCTCGCTCTTTACAATTTTATCCACACCCCTCATTGTCCCCAAGCCTACGGTAACTGAGAAAACGGCTTTGAATTTTTCCAACACCAATTTGGCAAGAGGTCTCTGCGCCTCTATAAGCCGCATGGGCATGTGTATATTTTTTAATCTTAAAAAAAAAAATTGTAAATGCTATAATCGCTTTTTTAAAGGTTGAAAAGGTAAAAAGAGGTAAATATCTTAAAAAAGGCAAAAAAAGGCAACATCAAATGTGTATATATGGAATCAGGGAAAGCTAAGTCGTGGACATTCTTAATCGAATATCTCTTTAGCAGAAAAANAATAAAACATCGAAAAAGGCAGGAAAAGGCACTAGGTATTGCAATAAAGGCAAAACAAAATAGTGAAAAAGGCAGGAAAAGGCACTAAAAGAGACAGAAAATACAAAGAACCTTCAAAAAATACATTTATTTTAGAAATGTTTATATTACAGGTAAAAAGAGAAAAATTATGAACTAGTTTCGTTATATGAAAAAGNATCGAATATCTCTTTAGCAGAAAAAAGGCAATTTGCATAAAATCCGTTCCCTGGTTATCAGCATTGACAGAAACACCCAACACCTTATTTACGAACTAGTGCATACAAGAGTCAGCATTGCCATTGCTAAGTTTTGATATGCCAGCAATTTTAATTGCGTTTTGTAGATGCTTCTGCTCTCTGNAATATATTCTATCTCTTTAGCAGAAAAAAGGCAATTTCCGTAAAATCCGTTCCCTGGTTATCAGCATTGACAGAAACACCCAACACCTTATTTACGATCTTGTGCATACAAGAGTCAGCATTGCCATTGCTAAGTTTTGGTATGCCAGCAATTTCAATTGCGTTTTGTAGATGCTTCTGCTCTCTCCAATTCAGCTTAGACTCTAGTTTTCCCACTTTCTCTTTTAATCAGCCTCATTGCGAGAGTCGTGCCGAATGCCGAAGTCGTTTTTCGAGAGTCGAATCGTATCGAAAATTTAGCGTCATTGCCTAAAATTTCCACTCGACTAGTGTATTAAAACGAAAGAATTTGGCAGCACTGCATAGTTTTCGACAATTTTCGTCGTTTACTTATTTCAGCACGACAGTAGACAACGCTAATGTTGTCGAGTCGTACAATTCAGCCTAATTTACGACATACGCAATGAGGCTGAAGGTTTTATTCTCCGCCTTCAGCTCATTTACCGCCAACAAAAAGTCCAAATTTATTTTTTTTAAGTTGATAATCTCTTCATACAAGAGTTGAAGAGTTATGGTTTTGCTAATTTCATTCGTGCCTTTAGTCATCTGCCGGTCGTGAGGTTGTTGGCACACGTTGCTTTCGTTTGCTAACGTTTTTAAATTTTCTAGCTGCTTCTGTATGTTTATGTTGTTACTGTTGCTGGTTGCGATTTTTCTATTTTGCTGCTTTATCTGTGTACTCCCTCGTTCCGATGATGTGTTTGCTGTTTGTCGTATGGTTTGCTTTTGTTTATCCGTCTCTGAGCTGGGTAATCCGCTGGTTTTTGGTAAATATTTTTGTGACTCGACGACAGAGGAAACCAAGGTTTGCAATTTCTGATGAACTTCCATAGCTGAGGAAGGGCTTGGAAGTGGTTCTTGATGCAGAGTTCTTCTGCGCATGGAGACACACGAATCACACCGATAGCTCGCACTATTTGCTTCATGTATTCTATGTCTTCGAATGTTAATTTCGCACAAGAACGTGGTAGTAGTTTTTGCAGTCTGAGCAAGCAATCTTTCTACTGTCGGCGCGATCAACTTTTTCTTCGCAAATTAAACAATGCATTTTTCCGATAAAATAAGTCTAAAGATTACCGAGAAGACTTTAAGAAATTAATCAAAGCGCGCACCCCACGACACAATGGGCGCGTTCATAAGTCGTAGCTTTTGGGTAACCGTTGGCTGTTTGTCTTAGAAACGCACAGTTGAGTAGTTACGCTCAGCCCGACAGTTGGCAACTTTCCGCCATTTTTGCCAGCGGAAAATTTTTGTGCTACCTGAACTCAACGTGTTGGGCTTAGCCTAAACAGCTGATCGAAAAGACTTACGCCGCTTTGTTAGGTGGCAGTAGTAAACAAATTTATTATATTTTATATTACTGACGTGATAAAGTAACTAAAATATTTTATAATAATACTACGTCTCTAAATATATGTTTTTAAGATGTTTGCTATATAATTTTACACTGTTTAATTCATTGTAACATCGAACAATTTTTTCAACACGGCGGCCGCTCTGCGTTGAATTCTAAATAGTATCGGCGCAACTATGTTTGTTGCAATTTCATTTGTTTACATTTATCAGCTGTTCATTTGGCAGCATATTCATCAAGCCGTTTGTTTCTCAGACGTAATTGTTGGGTTGAACAGTTGCCAGCAGTTTCGTAGCAGATGAGCTAAATAGCTACGTCTTATGAACGCGACCAATGAAAAACACGTCTTGTCTACTCAGCGGTTTATCTATCTCTATATATTCACAAATAAAATCATATGTTTTAAATAGCGGACTGTAATTAACTAGAGATGGCGGATTGTACATATGTATGTAATTTTGTGCGTATTCTTGTTCTGAACAGCGATGACGACGATGTTTGCGCGTTGGTGGGTGCTAATGCTCTGCCTGTTGCTTTGCTTGACAAGTCGATTGGAGTTGAGTTGCTGTGTGAATGCAAGGGGAGCTTTTTCGAAGATCCTGCATGTTGTTATTAGTAGGTAAAGCGAAGGCGAAAGATGTTGTTGGCGAAGACGAAGAAATTGCGGTGAGGTGGTGATGGATTAGTTGCTGCAGCTGACGACTAGCGGTGATGTACATATTTATGTAACAAGTATGTGAATGTTTGCATACGTACATACATATGTGACTAGGAAGTAACAGTTGTGCTGTTGCTATGAAAACAATTTACCTACCTTTCAAATGCGAGCGACGGAACCAATACAACTGGGTCGGATGTTTCTCCCGTTATGAGTTGCCCTTCATGAGTTCTCTATTAACCAGTTGAGGGCTCTGGTGCCTCAACATCCACCCAGCCCCATGGAAATTTGGTTTCCCAGAGAAATGTTGGAATTGAACTCTTTTGGTAGCTTAGCGACTCTAGTTATCGCCCTTTTATGTATGCCCGTCGCTGTTTTTTCGAGAACAACGCGTACCTTTCCGTCTGTGCCTGTGATAGCTTCTACGATGCGGCCCACTGGCCATTTTAATGGGGGAGTATTGTCTTCTTGCAATAGTGCCAAATGATTTGACTTTAAATTTGGTGATTGTGTTTTCCATTTTTTCCGCTGTTCCAATTCTCACAAATATTCTTTGCTCCAGCGTCCCCAAAATTGTTGTTGTATCCACTGGGATAATTGATAGTGCTTTAGCACTCCCGGTTTTGACGATGAAATTGAGGGTTCTGGTATGCTGGTGAGTGAGCGACCGATAAGAAGATGGGCTGGTGTTACAGGACGCATATCGTCTGGGGAACTTGTTATGGGCGTTGGTGGTAGGCTATTTGTAATCGCTTCTGCCTGGCAACAAATGTACGCAACTCATCTTGCGTTAGAATATGAGCCCCGATGGCTCGGCGCAGATAATGTTTGGGTTGCTTCACTGCGCTCTCCCACAGGCCACCGAAGTGAGGAGAGCGGGGTGGTATACACTTCCACTCGATGCCTTCTGCACAGCAAGCCTGTTGCACTTCATCGTTATGCTGTTGTGACATGAATTGTTGAAAAAGCTCGCGATTGGCGCCCACATAATTCGTTGCGTTATCCGAGTAGATAACCCGACACCTTCCACGACGAGCGATAAAACGCTTCAAAGCGGCAATAAATGCTGCTGATGTGAGATCGGGCACCAACTCGAGATGGACGGCCTTGGAGCTGAAGCAAATGAACACCGCAACACTGACCGAGCCGCCAGGCATTGGTATGCGTATCGTGTGCCCGACGAGGTCAATGTATTCCTGCATAAAGCCGGCGTAATCAGCTTGAAGTTCCTTATCGCGACGTAATTTTGATTCAGTGAACAACAAACGGAGAAGAGATATGTCGTGTGAGCTGCCTAGAAAATGTGGTGCTTCTTTGAACGGAAGCCTTACGATGAATTTACCTGTGGTGGGACATATTTTTGTTGTATCACGGAAGTAGTTTTCGCACTCCAAATCGCCCGAAGTAAGCCTCTTATGTGGTTGTGAATGTTGCTAAAATTGCCAAAACCGCTATAAAATATCATCACAAGATGGCTCTAGAGATGGGGATTCGGTTTTCTGTTGTGATGAGTTAAACGTCAATTGCGACATCTTGGTGGTGGATAAGAGGCAATCGGTGCTAACCGACGTGGTATATGAAGAAACTAACGCAGCCGAAGATAGGTGTGAGTGATTAGTAACGGTTCCCGCTACAACCCAACCAAGTTTGGTTTTCTGTAATATTGGAAGTTTGTCACACAACCTAATCTGGCCTACCAGATATATATAATATATTTTGATCGGTGTTGTAACATACCTGAAGTACGGTTGGTTTCGATGACGATTGCAAGGCGGTTGATGATTGTAAAGACGATGACGGCGGTTGAACTTGAGCTGAAGATTGTGGCGACGATGGTGTTGTTGGGTGACTTCGATGGAGCAGCGTGTGATGGCTCACATGACAAACTTGACACCTGCGCGATGATAGGCACTCTTTTGATGTGTGATTTAAGCCCAAAAAATTCAAATAAAGCATTTTTTCTTTGCTACGTCATACCGCGAACTAGACGTAAGTTTCATGAAGGCCGTGCAGTTGAACGCGTTGTGACTTATAGCTTCATCGCACAGGTTGCATTTTTGTTGTTGGTATGTAGCGACAAACGACAATTGTTTTGTAGTTTTGTGAGGCTTTGGCGCCGCAGACGACGAGGATGATGCTTGACGTGCGGTACCACTGAGCGACTTCGGTGGATCCTTACTGACATCAACGATGTCGATGAGTTGGCATCGACGCTGCAAAAATTTTACCAAATCCTCCCATGTTGGCATTCGTAGAACTTGTGACTNCATCGGTATGCGTATCATGTGCCCGAGGCCCGAGCGTAACAGCTTGAAGTTCCTTATCGCGACGTAATTTTGATTAGTGGACAACAAACGGAGAAGAGATATGTCGTGTGAGCTGCCTAGAAAATGTGGTGCTTCTTTGAACGGAAGACTTACGATGAATTTACCTGTGGTGGGACATATTTTTGTTGTATCACGGAAGTAGTTTTCGCACTCCAAATCGCCCGAAGTAAGCCTCTTATGTGGTTGTGAATGTTGCTAAAATTGCCAAAACCGCTATAAAATATCATCACAAGATGGCTCTAGAGATGGGGATTCGGTTTTCTGTTGTGATGAGTTAAACGTCAATTGCGACATCTTGGTGGTGGATAAGAGGCAATCTGTGCTAACCGACGTGGTATATGAAGAAACTAACGCAGCCGAAGATAGGTGTGAGTGATTGGTAACGGTTCCCGCTACAACCCAACCTAGTTTGGTTTTCTGTAATATTGGAAGTTTGTCACACAACCTAATCTGGCCTACCATGAGTAGGTCGTAAAACACGTCTGCGCCTAGAAGAAGGTCTAATGTGGCTAATATAATTTGATCGGTGTTGTAACATACCTGAAGTACGGTTGGTTTCGATGACGATTGCAAGGCGGTTGATGATTGTAAAGACGATGACGGCGGTTGAACTTGAGCTGAAGATTGTGGCGACGATGGTGTTGTTGGGTGACTTCGATGGAGCAGCGTGTGATGGCTCACATGACAAACTTGACACCTGCGCGATGATAGGCACTCTTTTGATGTGTGATTTAAGCCCAAAAAATTCAAATAAAGCATTTTTTCTTTGCTACGTCATACCGCGAACTAGACGTAAGTTTCATGAAGGCCGTGCAGTTGAACGCGTTGTGACTTATAGCTTCATCGCACAGGTTGCATTTTTGTTGTTGGTATGTAGCGACAAACGACAATTGTTTTGTAGTTTTGTGAGGCTTTGGCGCCGCAGACGACGAGGATGATGCTTGACGTGCGGTACCACTGAGCGACTTCGGTGGATCCTTACTGACATCAACGATGTCGATGAGTTGGCATCGACGCTGCAAAAATTTTACCAAATCCTCCCATGTTGGCATTCGTAGAACTTGTGACTGTGCTGCTCGATCCCATTTTTCTGCTACTTCCTCCTCCCATTTCATTTGCGTGTTGTGATCCAATTTTGATACGACCAAATACAAAATTAACCCGTCTGTAATTTGCGTTGTATTAGCCATTGTTTGCATTGCTTGCATGTTGGAGCTGATTTTGTCGATGAAGTCACGTATATTGGCAACGTTGTGGTTTGCTAACCGCTGGCTATCAAAGATGTGCTGCAGATGGCTCTGGAGAATTATACGCTTGTTGTCGTAACGGGTTTCTAGCAATTCCAGCGCCTTTTGATAGTTCGCACTAGTCACCTCCAACGATTGTATCACTCTAGCAGCACACCCTGTCAAGCTTGACCTCAGATATTGAAATTTTTCAACATTTGTCTGCATACAGTGCCTTGACGGCACAATAACTCTCATCTACTGCGGTGCGATGATCTTCGAGCAACTGCGTCTGATCTAGTATTTCCAGCTGCGTTTGTAATTCGTCGTATGAATTATAATAACGCTCGACCAGGGCAAGTTTTGCTTCTAAATGCGCGATGGTTAATGTGTTAAGTTGACTGGTCAGGACATTTAGTGCATTTAGACGCGCCATGATAGAATCACGCTGACAAACCTTTGTACGAACGTCGCGACAAACTTCGACGCAGTGTTGAGGAATTTGCACTTCAACATCTTCCGACTTGTTATTCTGCATTTTTTATTTTTGTAAAAAGATGATAAAATCTAACGTCGGTAGTTTATTTAGCGAAAAAAACGATACAATGTCTCTTGAACCGTACATCGGGCTCGAAGAACCAGAAAATATGGTGAAGAAAAGAGGCGTTTTTCTTTCCTTTTTGGAAGTTGAATTCTATTTATTTATTTCTTAGTTCACTTTTGTTTCTTACTTTACTAACTTTTTGTTTCTTTTACTTACGCTTAATTTAGTTTATATTCACAAATAAAATCATATTTTTTAGTAAATAGCGGACTGTAATTAATTAGAGATAGCGGATAGTACATATGTATGTAATTTGGTGCGTATTCTTGTTCCGAACAGCGATGACGATGATGTTTGCATGATGGTGCGTGCTAATGCTCTGCCTGTTGCTTTGCTTGACAAGTCGATTGGAGTTGATCCAATGCTGTGTGAATGCAAGGGGAATTTTTCGAAGATCCTGCAATTGTTATTGCTATTGTGGTCACCGCAATAGCAAATGTAGTAGGTAAAGCGAAGGCGAAAGATGTTGTTGGCGAAGACGAAGAAAGTGCGGTGAGGTGGTGATGGATTAGTTGCTGCAGCTGACGACTAGCGGTGATGTACATATTTATGTAACAAGTATGTGAATTGAATGTTTGCATACGTACATACATATGTGACTAGGAAGTAACAGTTGTGCTGTTGCTATGAAAACAATTTACATACCTTTCAAATGCGAGCGACGGAACCAATACAACTGGGTCGGATGTTCCTCCCGTTATGAGTTGCCCTTCATGAATTCTGATTTAACCCGGTGAGGGCTCTGGTGCCTCAACAGGAATGATTTTACAAAAGTTTAGCGGAGCGGTCGGGCATGGTAAGCATGGGCTCATCTATGTCAGCTTCTGGTTGAATTGTTGTACCACAAGCCAGTACTCCGCCTATGCCTGACGAACTGGTTCTCAATCCACTTAAGGCAATAACAGCTTCTTCCAAGTCATTGAAAACATGCACTTTATTAGGTCAAACACCTGTTGAGCTTGCTTCTGCCTTCGGCCGCGCTTAAGGATTGTAACCCTTGCTAAGTAGAATTCTCCTTTCAGTGTTGCCGGAGAAGAGCGGTTTCCGCATGCCAAAGGTATACAACATTTATTGTGCATATAACTCAGGCTACGCCACAGTATTTTTGCGCAGAGCCCACATCGAAATTTACAAAAAAGTGCATAGTTCAAACCGAATTTATTAATAAACTAGTGGACGGAAATTTGAAGCATTTATTTTAATTTAAATTTTAATCCATTGATTACACGTGTTTGTTAAAATTTTTGTATTCAGGTTATGCGTTTGGACACAACAACCGAAAATCATTGTACAAATAACTAAACCGGACCCAAGTTTCTCGATAAGAGGCAACAAAGATTCTTTTTTGGTCGTTTATATAAAGCAGTGGATAAAAATATACGTTTATGCGAAAGGCAAATTTATCTGTTTAAATGAACACCACTAATATTTCCTGCAAACACACATCGATTTACATCTTTTATCTTGCCTCCGACACGAATTGTTTTCGTACAGAATTGCGCAAAAAATCTGTCAATTTCTTACTCGTTCGTTTTTAGGCATGCCATTGTTACGAATTTTGAAAGTTAAAAAATACGATTCGGATTGCAGCATACTGTTTGTTTTGTTTTAAATTAAATTTTAATCCTTTGGCGCATGTTAAAGTTTTTTGTTTGATGCGTTTGGATACAACAACCCAAAATCATTGTACAAATAACTAAACTGTACCCAAGTTTCTCAATAAGGAGCAAAATCCAAAAACTTTAACATACACGTGTAACCAAAGGATTAAAATTTTATTCAAAACTAAGGCTTTAAATTTCCGACCACTAGCTTATTAATAAATTCGGTTTTTGCAAATTTCGATGTAGGTTCTGCGCAAAAATACTGTGGTTGGCGTAACCGGAGTGATATGCACAAGAAATGTTGTATACCTTTGACATGCGAAAGCCCCTCCTCTCGGACAACACAGAAAGGAGAATTTTACTTAGTAAGGGTTATAATTCCTAAGCGCGGCTGAAGGCAGAAGCAAGCGTAACAGGTGGTGGACCTAACAAAGTGCATGTTTTCAATGGCTTGGAAGAAGCTGTTATTGCATTAACTGGATTGAGAACCAGTTCTTCACGCATAGGAGAAGTTTTGGCTTGTCGTTCAACCATTCAACCAGAAGCTGACATTATAGTGCCCATGGTTACTGTGCTGCTATAATTGCAAATGCAATAAAATCCATCGTTTCCTTCAAAATATGTAATATCAAACCATTTTACTCCATGAGTGTTTTTTTTTAATTCCTTTCCACTTTGTTTTCCTTCATTCAGCTGTCTTCGAAAAACAACTGAAAGCTGGCAATGCTGCACATGTTTCCGCAAGGTTTGCAGCATGTGAATTTTTCGTTTTTCGTAGCATAGCTCGGAGTGAATTTTGGAATACTTCCGAAAATATTTACAGTTTTCCTTTATTAAAGGCTAGCTTCTTAACATCCAAAGCTTGCGACCTTTGTGGTTTATATTGTAAAACAATGAATTCGAGTATATAAGAACCAGAAACTCTGCCAGAGCAATATTTTGGTAAAATTAGAAAGGGCTGTGGATTAAATCAAATAAAAACTCCCTGCATGTTCTCAGATCTTTTCAGGTAATCCTGGGGCCTAAGACACGGTAGTTGCAAACTTTCGCCTAGCGCCGAATAGGATTTTTTTTCGTTTCGCACCCTCGAATGGGTGTGTAATGACCCTCTGGTTAAAGACACTTATTGGCAAAATTTCAAAGTTTGCGCAGACCTAACATATATCACGATATAGTGTAACGGCACACTCGTTTGGCACTGCAACACCAGCCTTAGGCTAATCTACTACAATTATAAAACGTCAAATGTCTAAAATGTCAAATTAGGGAAATAAAATAAAAGGCCAGTCGTTCTTTTCTGGACGAACTGCCAAACGAGTCACATCAATAAATTTTTAATTAAACTCGGACTCTTGAGATTTTCCTCAACTGTGGTGATAGCCACACAGCTCCTAAGGTTACTGCAGCCTACATTGGTAAGCCCACTCGTTACAGCAACGCAGGTGTATCCCGGCGATTTCGGCAAGTATGCCTATACGTTCCACGTAAATTACATGGAGACCGTCAGCGCGTCATCTGCAATAAGAGCGACAAATTCATCAGTTTTTGCATTGGGTATTGTGACACCTACTCGTCGTCTAAAAGTGTTTGCCATATTCTCATCAAGGGAAAATAATGTTGTCTATACGTCTGATCATGGATATGGTGGGCATAAAGAAGATTTTATAGATATAGCAGCGCAGACAATTGTCATTGGAGCATCGGCTGGGAATACATTATATTAGTTACTCACTGGACAGGGCAAGCAGCTTTGCGGGCATTAAGATCCAAATCGTCAGTCACAGCAGTCGAAAAAGCAGGCTCGTCACCAAAGTCCTAAGTCGGCCGTGAACAAGCCACTGGACAAACCATGGAAAGAAGCAGAATCAGTTGTGAGCAAACACAGGCACGCAGTAATGATACCAATGTAACGGGTCTGAACCAACTACATGTAAAACTACAACATAAAAAAAACGGCTACCATTGAACACGAACGATTCGTCTGCAGAAGAAGGCTTTAAAAATTAGTCCGGCGCCATAATTCTAGCCGGTTTAAATGCTACCGAGGACATTGCAACGTAATATATGAAAAGCAAGACTAAGACGACCGATAAAGTAATAAAATCGTGATCCGAGATGTTGTCATCTGCAGACGATTCGTTCGTGTTGCCTATTGTTCGTGATACAGAATAAGGCTGTAAGCCTGATAACTGTAATGTTGTCGCAGGCAAAATAGCGGCGTTGCATGTCAGCAACAACAACTATGCCGATTTTGCTAAACGTGTGGAAGAGTTAGCCGCACTAGTACGTTCCTTGATTATCGAAGGGATTACGCAGGTGAAAGCTCACGAAATGGCCGTCGAGCAAACTGTTGCATGCTGAATGCCGTCTGATTTAGTTAAATCCATTTTATCTTCCTCTTTTTCGGACTCCAAGGACGTAGTAGCAAAGTTAATAGTAGAACAAAACAACGAAATATAAGAGCGGCAGGTTATGGCTTTTCGGGTGCGTGGTGGTAACAATTTCAGGCATTTTCGTGGGAACTTTGGAGGATTTAAACCAACACGTAACACTAATAGTTACAGGCATAATAGGCAATTTTCAAACAATTATAGCAACAACAATTACCGGCAAAATAATCGATCTGCTTACAGAAGCAATAGCCATAGTTGAAACTTTGGAAATGGCAACATACGTGCAAGCAAAAATAGAAATAATAGCAACAATAACAACAACAACCGGTTTGGTACATGAACCAACGACTACAGATCACGTAATCCGCCATCGTTGTATTTGTAATCGATTTTCAGAAAAAAGTTTTCGTAGCGTTTTTGATATTTTTTGGTTCTGTTTACATCGTCTCCTAGCTCTTCGTAGTGATATTTTAGCGATTTTATGTGTTTTCCGCAGCGAGTTTAATTATAAATTTTGATTTATTACAAATTTATGATATAATATGAAGTGCTTTGTGAGTGGAACAAGTTTGTGCATCTGTTTGATTTGTCAAGAGGCGTAAATTTGCGTGAAAAGTGGGTGCACAGTTGTGGTCAGAACGTTGGCATTGAAAAATCGACCGGTGCCGATAATATGCGGTTGTAAAACACTCTCAATCATTAAAACCATATTTTATGAACTTTTTTTTGCTAATGTTTATCAAGTTTCACTTTTTATATTTTATAATAAATACCAATATAATGGCACTCAATCACTGCGCCTTTTTCGTTTTCTTTGTTTGTTTTCATTTTTAGGCAGATGCGAAAAACGCTCAGAAATTTACGTTTTTCATTCTTTTCCGATTGCGTGATCTTGTTAGTTGCATGGGTTTGGTAGTAATAGGGGAAGAAATGCTAACGTTCGGAGCGAAAACTGAGGGAGGAAGAACTGCACGACTAACGAATAAATATTCACTCTAATCTATTTATTGTCTCAATTTAAACTATTCAGATTTCATATAGCTTTACCTTTCCGATTCCAGCAAATTTTGTACGTACGAACTGGGCGCTGGTCCTACACATTCGTCAGGCACAAGGTAATACTTTCAAACAGGAAATTAAAGCACTTGTACTAATTCCAGAATTGAGGGTCGCAGTCCACTTCTACCTCTAAATCCGTTTCTGAATGAAAATGGAATATTGAGAGTAGGGGGCCGACTAACCAACGCTGACATGAGTAACGATCGGCGACACCAAATCATAGTCCCACGCGGCACTCTAGCAGATTTAATGGTCGCAGATGCACATAAGCGCTGCTTTCATGGTGGCATACAGCAGATGCTCCAGTTTCTCCGACAACGCTTTTGGCTCATATGTGCGCGGGCCCAGGTAAAATCTGACATCTGGAGGTGCACCGCATGTCGAAGACATCTGCAAATTACGCAGCGGCAACAGATGGCGTCGTTACCAAAGAAGCGTGTCCTTGTGGCACCACCATTTTACCGCAGTGGCTTGGATTACTGTGACCCTTCCAAGTTCGAGTTGGCAGCAAGCGCTCAGCAGTTACGACAAAAACCTATGCAGCCATTTTCGTTTGTATGGCATCGCGTGCAGTTCATATTGAGCTGGCAGAGGACTTGAGTACACAAGCATTTACAAACGTGTACGACCGCTTCGTGAGTCGATGAGGCATCTGCGCTACCTTATGCAGCGATAATGGTACTCAGTTTATTGGTGCGAATCGACAAATGCAGGAGGATTTACAGGCATGGGTGAACGTGTAAGCACAACAACACTTGGTGGCTGTAGGAACCCACTGGAAGTTTATTACACCATCCTCACCTCATCACGGTGGCCTTTGGGAAGCAGCGAGTCATGGGTCGTCGTCAAACAATGCGCTTCCCCGAGCTTAACACTCTTTTGACGCGTATAGCAGCCTGCCTCAAATGACGGTCATTGCTGGCTTTATACGATGATTTTATTATTGGCCGCCCGTTGAATTGTCGTCCGGAACCTTTATTACCAGAAGTTCCAGAGAATCGTTTGCATTATTGGCAACTTCGTCACCGAATGCTGGAATACTTTTGGCGTCGCTGGCAAAGCGAATACCTAAATACCCTGCAGTCTGGACGAGACCGGAGCCAAACATTCAGCGCGACGACGTCGTCCTCATCCGGAATAAGAATCTCCCCCCAACATTTTGGCGCATAGGAAGGGTCATCGACGTGCATCCGGGCAGTGATGGTTTGGTTCGCGTAGTCACCATCGAATACAATTCTAACCAGAAAACCTGGAACGGACTTTTTACCAAACACCGATGTCAGCGGCCGGTACAGAAATTATGCCGATTAACAGGCCCATCTAAAGAATTACTGAACCGCATGGGTTCAGCCCGGTAGGATGTTCAAGAGTTACAGTAAGGTATTGGTCAAATGCAACGTTGGGCATCGTTAGTACAGGAACATACTTACATTCAGATCTGCTCATCAACACCCGCTGGATGCACCAATACAACCAACATGAGTTCATTTTTCAATGTCATCGCTTATCATACATATTATGCGTATTATTATTGTTCGCGCTCTAGCGAGACGTTTTTATAGCTGATGTACTTAGGAGTAGAACACATATGTACGTATTGTGCTCATATACTTCTGTATGTATGTATATAAGGAGTATCTGGTGATCTTGGGGTAGAATATTCAAGAACGTGAAGCAATAAACAAGTGGAAGACACTTACTCGACTTATTTGGGACAACGTGGTTTTCTACTTTGCCGAACTCATTTCCAAACAGAGATAGCTTCAAAGGTAACAGCAGCATGTTGTTATCTGCACAATTATTTGATGTCAAATGAAATACCAAATTATCAGGCACCAAATGGTAATAATTTCGAATTAACGAATATACAGACCAGTTCAGCTCGGAATTCAACGGAATGTGCTAAAACTTTAAGAGAAAAGTTTCGCAATTATTACAACAGCGGAATGTAAATAACTTTTTTCAACAAATTACTATTACACAATAAAAAATGTTACGCCACACAAAACAATGTAGTACTTTCTTTTTCTGTCTATATAGCTATGATCACTTATTATAAAGCAAAGAATTTACTTACCAGGCTAACAGGCTGCTCATTCCTTTTTAAAAATTGCAGAGCATGAATAGTTTATACATATATTGCTTGGTAGCGGTCGAGCTGAAATGCGCAACGAGTATACATACATACGTGCACTCAAACATACATATATATGTACATATGTAGGTACTCGTACCCGTCATGCGGCGCTTTATTTCTTTTTTCCCCTTCCCTATACTACCTATATCTTCCTTCTCACTCATGTAACGTTTTCAGTGTTAAAAATTTCACTCTCCGTTTTCGCGATACCGCCGCCTAAGAAGTTTCACTTCAAAAATAATTTATAGAAATACAGATTTCGTTTAAGGAGAGTATGAAAGAGGCTGACTTCCAAAACGCATCAATACAATGTTTGGAAACTGTTATACTGCGGTATTCAAACTGTTTGTATATGCAGAGTTGCGACACATTGCAACCATATACATTGCATATTTTATATACTCAATATAGCAATGAACAATTTTTCTCAATTTTCCATATTTAAAACACCAATGGTAACCAATAACAAACGAAGCATCAACTTTGTTTCTGATGCGCTGATTGCTAAAGCGATACGTTCCGATAACTAATCGGCTGCGTTTTGGAACAGTATATGTAATAATGGAGTGCAGGTTAATAATAAATTAGTCCGATTGATTGAAAATATCTGTATTTATTGCGATTACAATTTATGTTGCACGTGGTATGTGCTTCAGCCAAGAACTTATTAGTGTGTAATTTTAGAGATCCAACCTATTGCTGCGCTTACAAAATACATGTAATATTCTATGTTACATTATATTGCTGCGTTTACAAAATACATGTAATATTATATGATACATTATTATACTATGTGTTCACTCATATCCAGCCGATGCTTATCTGTTACATTGCTAGTCTGTGTTCACACATATACTTATTACAATGTTGTGTTCACCTCTTTTACATATTACATGCTTGTTTTTCTTTTTTTTACTCCCACCCATATCTCTTGGGTGGATGCACTATTCTACCACTTGGTGTGTGATATTGTTCTATTATATTGCTTCCCTCACTATTCTCATTACTTTCGCTTCTTGCTCGACTACTATTATTTTCTGCTTCAGATTCATCACTACCAGCTGTATCATACTCGTCCAATGATGAATCACTAGGTTCTGGTATTTCTGAATCGTCCACATTACAAACCAGTTCACAACTTTTAATGCTATTTTCATTCGTACCTGGAGGAGCCATGATATTCATTTCCTGTAGATCACCTGGATCTGGTACATTCGGCCTGATATTTTCTTCAAAGGAAGCTTCACTGGCGTTAAAGTCACAATTTTTAGTTTTGGCAATAAACCTCCTATTACGCCTGAAGAAGTTATTAAAGCTATCCCTGAGAATATATGAACGATCGTTTACATTTCCTACCACAGTTACGTAATTCCATTCCCTTCCGCTTTTCTTAAAAATAACGAGATCACCCAAGCTCAATACCGGTAAGGATTTCGAGTTTCTATTATAATAAAATCTTTGTTTCTCTCTCTTTTCTTGAATCTTTTGTTTAACGGTTTCCTCTCCTATATACTTCCTTTCAAGCAATATGTTTGAAACTGGAATTCTTGTTTCTACCATTCTACCAAAAAATAATTGCACTGGGGCTAATCCCATGCTGGCCACAGGTATGGTATTATATTCCAGTATCCTGTATTGGTAGTGTTCTATATCATATGCTTCATAGCATCTTTTAAGTATATTTTTTGCGATGGCTACTCCTTTTTCAGCAAGTCCATTACTTTGCGCATAATATGGACTTGAGAATTGTAGTATAATGTTATGTTTGTCAGCAAATTTTTCAAATTCAGCTAAACCAAATGGAGAATTATCGCAGCGGATTGTTGTTGGATAACCTAATGTATTAAAATTTTCTTTAAGTTTACAAATGATATGAGTAGAGGTTTTATTACACAGACGCTCCACTATTAAGAAACCCGAGTATGCATCAATGACTGACAAGAAGTTGCTGCCCCCATACTCAAACAAATCCATGGCAACTATATCCCACGGATATTTGGGTGTCTCACCCTGAACAAGTTTTTCGTTTTGATTATTGCGCGTGAACTTCTCACAAATGACACAGGACGTCACGATCTCATTGATTTGTGTATTCATGTTTGGCCAAAAGTAGTTTGCTCTTGCTCGTGCAAGCGTCTTTTCTATGCCCATGTGAGGTGCGTGCACCCACTTTGCGATTTTCGACTGCAGTTCTGTTGGGATTACGAGTCGATGGTCCCTAAACAACAACCCATTTTCATAATGTAATTCACACTTTTATTTTAGTATTCTCTACCAAAGTTATCCAGCGAATGAAAGGGTGACCAATTATTGGTAACAAATTGGACCAACTTCGAAAAATTTTCGTCACGTTCCAGTGCCGAGCGGTACGAATCCATATTTGCTTTAGATAAACCACCTGATTTGGTTACTGTGTGAATGACCCCTTTTAAATTTTCAATTTCCACACATTCGCTTAGTTGCGCCCGAGATAAGCAATCTGCTATCAGAAGTTCCTTGTCTGGTTTATATATCACCACCATTTTCGGGTATTTCAACAGTGCCATGAACATACGTTGCGGCCTTAGTGATACGTTATCTATATCACGCTTTACAAGTGTTTCCCATGGTTTGTGATCACTATGAACTATAAACCCTCGACGGTATATTAGGTAGTGAAACTTTTTGCATGCGAAGAGAATCGCTAAAAGTTCTTTTTCAATTTGTGCCCACTTTTCTTCTGATTTACTTAATGTTCGGGATGCAAAGGTGACCGGGTGATTGTTTTGTATTAACACGACACCCAGTCCGTCCTTGGATGCATCGGTTTGAATAACTGCGGGCTTACTTGGGTCATAGGTTGCTAAGACAGGACCTGATGTTATGATCTCAAGTAAAACATTTAATTCTTGCTCATGTTCAGCCGCAAAATTAAATTCAGTGCGATCATGAGTGAGTTGGCGTAGATTTGCCGTTAATTTTGAAAGGTTTGGCATAAATTTAGCCAAATACTTAAACAACCCTAGTAAGCGCATGACGTCTTGTTTGCACTTCGGCTTTGCATATTTAATATTGCGTCTAAGTGTTTACTCACTGGCTTGATCTGACCTTCAGACAATATGTGACCCATGAATTTAATTTGTGATTTCTTATACTGAATTTTTTCAGGATTAAACTTAATTCCATTTTTCCTAGCGCGGTCCAGCACCTTAGCTAAAATTTCGTCATGTTCAGCCTCGTTATCCGCGGCTATACACACATCATCAAAGTAAACCATTACGCCTGGTATGTCCCCATATATTTGCACCATTTTACATTGAAACATTTCAGGCACACTATTTATACCGAAGAGTGCGGGGTTAAATTTGTATCTTCCAAATGGAGTCATACACGTCGTCAAATCTGCGCTTACCCTATCTAGTGTCATGTGCCAGAATCCACTGCACAGATCTTAGACCGAAAAAACCCGTTTGTTTGCTAGCCTAGATGTAAAGTCTTCAATAGTAGGAATTAGAAAATGTTCTCGTTGTATGCATCTGTTCAAAGGTTTAGGGTCTAAGCAAATCCTTAGTTTTACATTTGGTTTCTCTACTATTTGCAAATTGTTTACCCATTCCGTTGGGTAATTTACTGGTGAAATAATTTTCTCCCGTGCCATGTTCTCGAGTTCCCCTTTTAGTTTTTCCATTATACCGAAGGGAAACCGTTTTTTATAGTGCAGTGATGGCTGAGAGTTTTCCTTTAATATTATCGTAAATGTTCCCGGAAATTTTCCAATTCCCCCAAAAATATCTCGATTATTCTCCACAAACTCTTCTACTGTCTTATAACAGCAAGTGACTTCCCTATGTCTAACCGTTTTATTAATTGAAACTCTAGACATGATTCTAACCCTAAAAGTGGCTCATGGTGATTTCCTACTACGAAGAAAAGAGGATGATGTTTATAATACCAAATATTTTGACTTTATTTCCATTATAGTCGNCTAAAAGTGGCTCATGGTGATTTCCTACTACGAAGAAAAGAGGATGATGTATGGATTTCCGAACTAGATCATTACATTTTAGTTTTATAATACCAAATATTTTGACTTTATTTCCATTATAGTCGAAAATTGGAACGTTTTCAAATCCTTTCTTATTGTTCAATTCAATTATTAATTCATTAATATATTTTATTGGAATACAGTTCACGTCCGACCCGGTATCGAGCTTAAATGATTACAACCTATTTCCTATTTGGTACTTCTTAGTCCACTGTGGTTTGTTTCCCTCGCTATTTACTCTACAGATATATTTATGATCGCTTATATTATATGCATACCCCTCAACAATGTCGTAAAGTTTACCTTCGTCGTTCCAGTATGTCGAATAGACTTTATGATAAGGTTTCTTGTCGCTTTTCGCATTTTGATTTCCATCGTTATCCGTTGGTTTCCCTTTAGACTTGCAGTATTGTTGAAAATTACCGCGTTTTCCACCTTTTCGGCAACTTACACCATTTGCTTTGCATGTCCTCAATTGTGTTGGAGTAAATATGTCACCACAGTTACAGCAACGCCAATTGTCGTGGACGATTGGTTTGGTCGAGTGATTCTGCACGATTCTGTTCACTTGTAGTTGACCCACGTTTTTGTTAAGCAGTTCCTTATTTGCGTTAGTTGCTTCAAACGCTTTGCAAATATCGACAATACCTTGAAGCGATTCATTTTTAGCGTCGAGTAGTTTACGCTGTAGTTTCTTATTATACACTCCTATTATAATCCTGTCTTTCAGCATTCTTCCACCATATGACGTACCGCAAGTGCAGTTGAAACTACAAAACTGAATTTGCTTACGCAATTCAGTTTCGAAATCGCCGAAAGTCTGCTTTTCTTACTGCACAATGTTATTGAAGTGGAATGACTCCATGGTCGCATTTTTTTGAGGCATGCAGTAATTTTCAAAAGCCTGTAGTACTTTGCATGGTGTTTTAGATTTCCATGGCCGTCGGGCCGATAAGCCACAAAAATGTCGCGAACTGTTTATCATGGCTGTCTTCGTTTTTTCCACTCGCCATCATGTACATGAGGAAACTTCGTTTCCAAGATGGCCACTGCCTAGACAAATTTGAGCAGTCTAGCTCAGATGGCACGCGT